CCTCTGATGATGAGCGCTAGTGTCGTGGTAGCAACATGCTATGTGTTTACATCCATCGCTGCCATGTTTGTAATGACTTATCATGAGAACAAACGTATTCACGTGACTTTAATAACATTTMTTACTTAATGGAAACACTGCAGTTGCAAAACTTTGTTTTTTCGACATAAACAGAATATCAACAAAGTTTTGTGCACATTTGCAATGGAAATGCAGCTATTGATAGTTTAAAAAGGTGCATCCTCTTCTACCTGAGGATGCTAATTGTTATTAATAGATCATTATTCTGACTGCACACAGACTGATGTTTGTACCTTGATGATCCTGTATGAGTATRAACAGTTTGTACTCTTATAGATTGTTAATCATGTTGTTTAAGACCAAAAATGGAACAAACTAACATATCTGTCTGTTTTCTTCCTTTCTTCAGAGGTCTCCTGGCTGAACTGGTGTGTAACTGGTTCTTGTCTCTTCAGCCTCGTCCTCATTCTCTTCTTCAAGGAGTCCTACGATCGTCTCTACCTGGACGTCTTTGTCTCGGTGTGACACAGAAAAGGGAAATAAATCTGGATGATACCTGCTCTAGCATGAAGAGGACCTGAAAAGGGATTTGAAGAGTGACTGGGAAACCTTTTTGCTCTTTGTAAGATGTATTATTTTAGGATCAAAATRTGTACATACTGCTAACTATGGAGACGGTAATTTATTGTTAAACCACAGAAGAACCAAGACTGGTTCTTGATCTTTTACTCATCAGAAGTGGTCAATCCAAGGTCAAATAATGGTTTAATTTGTTACTTTTYTATTGACCATTTGTTGGTATGTAAACAATATATGAACAATTTATGATTATTAAACTGGCCCAAAGTGGACAGACTGTTGTTTACAGATTTAAAGCTTTTCTCTGTCGTTTTGTTTGAATTTTCCTCATGTCTGAAGAGACTGGACAGTTCCTCTGAGCGAACAAACGGGACATCACACTGACTCCAACTCTAAATCAAGTGTTTGTCCCCAACGAAGGAGGGAGAAATGATAATGGAACAGTCCCACCAGCCAATGAGTGGCCCGGCTGTGTTGAGTTGTAAAAAATGTGTTCGTGCTGCAGACTGCCGGCTGTGACTCAGAGCGAAGGATTAACTGGCTCGACACAGTGACCTGTGGTAGTGCCCGTCATTGAGAYGCAGGTACTTGGATTATGTTTTATCACCTTCTCAAAATGATCATTAAACACAAATAATCCACCAGATTATTTGTGTTTAATGATTATGACTGGATGCCAGCCAGAGACATGGACTGGGACTGGACACACCTCCTGTTTCATTGAAAAGTCTTTGATCCTTTTTGGTTTTCAGGCATAATTATGACTCATGATGTTTGTTTCTGCTAGATGTACTTTTTAAAGGGATCCTGATTAGTTGTAACATTAGACTTTATTTGATAAACATTTATTTTAACTGTAAAATAAAGACTGTAAAAATAC